CGGCGAAACTAAAGTCGGTTAAACTGAATTCTCTAAATTTGAATTTCCCGCCAAAACTTCGGATACCTCCTTGCTGATTATGTTCTCCTGATACGAAAAGGCGAAAATCGGCGAAACTGAAGTCGGTTAGACTGAGTTCTCCAAATTTCAATTTCCCGCCAAAACTTTGGATACCTCCTTGCTGATCATGTTCTCCTGATACCAAAACGCGAAAATCGGCGAAACTGAATTGTCTGGCTTTGAATTTTCTGCCAAAACTTCATAATAGCTCCTCGCTTATTATGTTCTCCTAATACTAAAACAAGAGAAACCGGCTGAATTTTCTAATTTCGTAAATTTGTAATAGGAGAATATAAAGTGTGAGAAGATATTTCATTTTTCTCTCGAGAACTTTATTCTTTCATTATAATATTACAATATTGCTATTGCAATATTGTAATATGTAAAATTATTGATTGTATATGTGATAATAATAATATATAACTTTTCTATTATATAATGAATTACAATAGTAGTAATTGTTTGTATACGTACTTAGCACATTTATTAATTCTGGTTACATACATATATAATTACATTATATATTACAATATCAATAAGAATAACAATGGTTATAATAATATAGTGATAAATGTAATGGATAATGTCTATGTTCTGGAGAAACTACAAAACAGTGATAAAAATAATTTTTGAGAGGTGAGCTGTAAACACTACGCTATAAGTAATTGTAAATGTATTTTCGTGTAGGCAATTGTCTTATTTATGCGCAATATAAGATATTATCGCAGCACTTTCTTATAGTGCATTAGACATAGCATAGTGTTTACATGTCGTATCTTAAAAATATAAAAGTACAGAAAATATATTTTTACAATATCTAATCGATAAGTCTAAATACTAAGTTATTTATTAAATATATTACATACTATGTGAAGCGTTTTATGCATAAAATTTGTTCTGGTATATCTTACAAAATCTTGAAAATATTCGTTCTCTATCTATTTTATCGAGTAACCTTCAAGGGGTAGCTTTAACTTCAAACGTATGAGGAGTCAATAACATGTATTTAAAAAGATAGATGTCTTTTATTGTTAGTTGGTCATACAAGAGTTGTCAAAGTTGATGATGAGCTCTTTTGAACTTTCCCTTTTAAGGTAGACAATCGGTATCTATTTTTCGCCAATTTGCTGCGAGCTGCCGCAAATTGAAGTAATATTTGTGCGGCGCTTGTTCGAAAAATTTTTCACGCGAAATCATTATTCCGGTAACGATGGAAAAACGAGCGCGCGTGTCTGCGTCACGGAATATGAATATGCAGCAATATTATTCACAATCAACATCGAGAACTATTTTAAATTCATCGACGGATTGTATATTGTGGCATATGTAAAATACATGCGTGTTAGCACACGGGTAGCACACACAGCTGCCCGAAATTGCTTCTTGAATAATGCGCTTGTGACATCATCTAATAATTACTGACAAATATAATATTAATGAAAAATATTTTCGAGATCGTATCTCTCGCCCGCCCATGTGTCCCGCGTTAAAAGTTTTATCGAGTAAAGAGCCCCTCATCACACAATTTCAGCTCTACACCAGTTAATCGAATATAAAAGCGCGAGGCCGCGACAATAATGCGGCGATACCTAATTATCTTTCGTGGCTACGCTTTAATTTCCGTCACGTCTCGATTGGAATGAAATTCATATTGCGCCGAGGTTTGGCTGGAGAGAGAGGTAGAGAGAGAGAGAGAGAGAGAGAGAGAGAGAGAGAGAGAGAGAGAGAGAGAGA